CAACCAACAACCAACCAACAAACAAAAAACACAAAACCAGCCAAACAAAAAACCCCAGAAAACAAAAAAACCCACACACAAAAATGCCCCCCAACACCCCCATGCGCATGCACACTAAACTCCCAGGGCTTGCTGGATTTCTCAGCCCCATTTAAACTGCTGTGCTTGCTGGGGTGCCCTGGGCTCAGTTCTCGGTGGATCGGGCCATCGAGTTTCTTAATCAATTGCCAGGCCCCACACAATCCTTTTAAGAAACCTTTGGCTTCCTGTGCATCTAGAGACTTCGGGGGCCTGGCTGCCAAGTTGGAGCGGATGGAGCAGAGCGCACGAGGCTGCAGATGAAGCCCAGGCTCCCAAACGAGCCACGTCAGCTTAGTTACTGCACGTCCACCATCGGCACCTTGTCTTCTCGTTGTTCCTTAGGACAACGGGGCAGACTCGCCGCTCGCTGCTCGGTAGCTCTGTTTCCAGTGGGAGTCAGTGTGCTTGGATACCCTGGGGGAGCACCTGCGGCGGGGCGGGGGGGGGGACACACAGGTGGGCTGTTGGAACCCGGGTATTCACCTTGCAGAGGAATGCACTGGAAACATGCTGCACTTGAGCAGGGAGGGAAGCCAGGTCGGATGGGGTTTCCTTTCCTCTCCCCCGAAGGCCCTCGCTGTTGGCCTTTGCCAGCCGGCATCCACGGGCACTTCAAGCTCAGGAGACCCGGTGTTTATTTACCGGGAAATCAGGCCCCTGTCCTGCATCCGCCTTTGGACGGATGAATGCCGCCAGCCGGGAGTGCAACCTGTGGGGGGGCTGGCCAAACTTTCTGAAGGTGTCGGGTGTAAACAGTGCTTCCTTATATTGGGGGCAAGCCTTCCGGAGTTTCCAAAACAATCCCGCGCATTCATTACCTCCCTGGATTTCCTCAGCAGGTAGGAAGAAGACAGAGCTACATTTGTCCCTATTTCACAGTAAAAAACCCCTGAAGCTGAGAGGTATAGTGACTTGCACAGAGGACTAGAAAGTGAAGGAGTGAGAAACCAGGACTTCTGATCCTTGGTCCAGAGACTTTTGGCAGACACGTGGTCTTCTATAATAATTTATTATTTTAATTTTATTATTATTATTATTATTATATCATCTCAGATAACCCTGACAGTCCTGTCGGATAACTGAACTTGTTATCAGTACAGAATGTAGTCATCTATGTCATGTTCTCTCACTGCATAAAGGAACTGTAAGGGACAAGAGCTGATTTTTCAACTGTATCCTTCGGAGCTGTATCACCTGGAAAATCACTCCCTTATCCATGCTGCCCGGTGATTGCCATCTTCCAGTGCGTGAAGGAAATAGCAAAGGTGAGAGCCATTTAGCTGCCAGGCGGGGAACACTGGCAGACTAGGAGCTGGGCTGGATTCAGCAGCGTCATTCCAGAGCAGTGCCCCCCCCCCCGCGCCCCCCAAGTGCTGCAGCGTCAAGGCCGTGGGGTCAGGAACACAGACAGCTCTCCACATCGTTTTCAACCAAGGCTATGCTGCATTTCCTCCAGGAATTCTAGGACCGCAAACTTAGTGACCATTGCAGATTTGGGTGTTTAATCCGGCTCCGTTAGGTTAGGTCTAAGATTATTACAGATAAAGTTTAAGATGAGTCAAGGGATAGCACCAGGAAGGGGAGGAAATCCTCTTAATTCTTGCCCATGCATTGACACTAGAGAGCCTAGAGTGAATGGAAAGGCATTCCTCTGGGGCCAATGAACCCTGATCCACTGTCCTCCTTTAGGTACTGCTTTTAGCTCGGAGCTACCGAAAAGGAGCAGTCTGGAAGAAATCATCACTGGTGGCCACCTTCTTTCATTATTTTGGTTGTTTATAAACATCCACTGAGTGTCCATTATGGGCCAGGCTCTGGGGAGACAACGATGAGCGAAAGGCACAATTCTGATGCTTGACTTTCTGCCGTCAAATGTACCGTTACTCCATTTCCCTGTCCCTCTCTCTCCTACCAGTGCCCCCCACCCCCAGCTCTATAGTTCTGATTCCGGATCGCGTGCACCACCATTGGCAAGACGCTCCAGAGGCCGAATGACTGCGGCAGGGACATCTCCCACTCCTATCTATCTGGTCCCCACTTTGCTTCAGGATATGCTAAGCCCTAGGTCCTCCTTCTTAGACTTCCTATCCCCTTCATCACCCCTCCTGGGGGCGGTCCTGCAGAGTCAGTGGTTGTGAACAGGATATGAAAGAAACTTTCTTCCTGATCTCCACACGAGCTCCTTTTTCTGAATGCTTTAAAGCAAAATGTTTGGTAGTGAGCCTCCCATGGTTTGCTTTGCTTCCTTTCCCCTTTCTTCCCAGTTCCCTGAGGAGGTTCTAGTCCCTTTCTCACTAGCCATGTGGTTTGACCCTGCTGCTAGTGTGAGGGGAGAACCTTGGTTAGCATAAGCCACTCCAGTTAGAACGAACAAGAGATTCCCCTAAGAATTCTGGAACGTATGAGGCTGTGAGGCTCAGGACGGCCTGATGGACTGCCATCCTGAGGGATGAGCCGGAATTTCCAGGGGCCACTGCTGAAAGCCTGAGAATGGAGCCAACCAAGAGGAAGCAGTGATGAAAAATGGACCCAGGCCATGCTATGTGGGTCCTGAATCAAGATGCGTCTGAACCAACATCTCTGGGTTGTCCTGTTACGTGAGCCTATAAACTCCACCACCCCCTTTGAGAACACTGGGTTGAGTTTGGTTTTCTGTCCCTTGCAAAAGATGGCCAACTGAGTACTTGTAGGCTAGGCTTCCCAAGTGGTGTGCCATGGTGCACCCAGGAACTGGGTTATATATATTACTTGAGGTTGACTGACCCAGCCCCCTGGGAGGGACTCAGGGCAGCCAGAGCTCCTGGACTGGAAATCTCTATCAGCAAGTAGCTTTGTCCATCAATCCCAGTGAGACAACAAATGCAGAACTGTGCAAAAATGTGCAAAAATTCTTTAACACTCCTCCATTCAAAATGTAGAGCCTAATAAATCTCCCCCCTGAACAGGGACTGACCCTGGTGGCTTGCTTCGAAAACACAGAATATGGCAGACACGAGGGAGTCTGACTTCAGAGGCTAGGTCATAAAGGACATGGCCACTTTGGTCTTACTTCTCTTGTATCGCACCCCCTAGGGGGAGTCAGCGGCCATGTCAGGAGGGCACTCATGCATCTGGGGAGAGATCCACAGGGAGAACCAAAGCCTCCCATCAAAGACCAGCACAACTTCCAACATTAGGAATGAGCCACCTTGGAACAGAATCCATCAGCTCCAGTCAAGCCTTCAGATGATGGCAGCTCGGGCCAATATCTTGACTTCAACCTCATGTGCTGCCTCAAATCGGACTGCCTGGGCAAGCTACTCCTGAATTTCAAATCCGCAGTAACTGGGTGAGATATTGTTTATTGCTGCTTTAAGCTAACGAGGTTGCAGGCTATATGTTATGCCTCAATAGAGAACATTTAAGCCCCTGGTGTGAAAAAGATTAGGAAGCACTGCTTTCAGTCCAAAAAAAAGGATACACTGGATACTGTGGACATATCCAGCATTCTGGGATGTATTAGAACCTTTAGGGTGTTTTGTTTGTAAAATGATACTTAATAGCAGCTTTACAACGTTTGAGATAACAAGCATTTAAAAATACATTCAAGGCAAAACAAAGGCTCCCTGTCTTTGGAAACATACTTGCAACCACAATTATCAATGACAGCTCTAAAAGTTTTTCATTTTAAAACAAACCTACTGTCATGGAAAGGACTCCTTAGGGAATAGAATTAGAGACTTGAAGACAGTGCAAAGCGTGACAACCCAATCAGATCTGTGCAGCATATGTCTCATCTTCCTGCAGATTCTCTCTTTTTAAAGATTTTATTATTAAGCAATATCCACACCCAACATGGGGGTGGGGCTCGCACCCCCAACCCTGAGATCCAGAGTCCCATTCTCCACCGACTGAGCCAGCCAGGTGCCCCTTCCTGGAGATCCTTAAGAGACAGGGACAGTTGCACCCTTGACCTTGCCGAAGGAGAGGCAGCATGAGCTAATCAGAGGATTCCTCCAAAACCCTTGCACAGAAGGGTTTTCCAATGTAAAATCAAGATGCTATCGTGGCATATCAGGTTTCTCTAATTTTTAGAAAACCAAAAGGCCTAAATTGCTTTACTCTTTTTTTTCCAAGATTTTATTTATTTGTTTGAGAGAGTGAGAACAAGCCAGGAAGAGAGGCAAAGGGAGAGGGAGAAGCAGGGTCTCTGCTGAGCAGGGAGCCCAACGCCAGGCTGATCCCAGGACCCCGGGATCACCACCTGAACCAAAGGCAGACGCTCAAATGACTGAGCCACCCAGGCGCCCCTAATTTGCTTAGTGCTTAACACTTAACACTTACTGTGTGAGGGCAAAATATGATAGATGTTGCGAGTGATTGATGCCCAACCTTGAGTCCCTCATGAAAGGTTACGTTCTGTAGGGACTGTTGCCTGTTCTAGTCTGCTCTGTATTGTGGCTACATGCACAGAGATGCTCCTCCTCGCTAAGCTGGCAGGGTTTGGAGGACGGTGACAATGTTATCGGACCTCAGTCTCACCCAGTAGCCCCCACACAGAAGACGCCAAACAGCATATGGAATTAAAGTATATCATATGTACTCAGGTAGGAAAGCAATTAAGTGTATCATATACTTTAGAAAGAATCCTTTCCCCAAATGCCTAGACTCCAAAAAGTTTGCCATGTAAACTAGTAAGCTTTTGTGCTTTAAAAAAAAAAAAAAAGATCTCTTTCAGAATATAAATTCCTGCATAAAAAGTTCTGGATCATCCAAATGAAATTCTCTCTTATAAACACCAAATTAAATACCGCATAAGAGGCAGGCCCCGGGACAGCACCGTCTGGTCTGGAGGACCGGGCCTATGACTCTTTCCTTTCCTCCGAAGTGCTTTGTGAGAGTTAAGAGGTGTCAAAATAAAAAACACGAGTTGCAAAGGGAAACATTTCGCTTGCCATTCTTATTACATTTTTAGTACCATTCAAGGGCATCAGGCATATTAAAAATATATAATTTAATTCTCAAGCCACAGTTTTGTTCATCTGCGTCCTACAGTACATTGCCAGAAGAAGTCCAAGCTCAGTCTACTCTAGCCAATATAATAGGCCGACGGACGGGCACGGTGTTCTGACATGAAAGCAGAGCTATTGTCCTTTTACAAAAATGAACTTGGTCCCAGGCGGGAGGAGAAAAAGAGTGAGCAAGAAGGAGCAGAAGGAAAAAATGCAAAGTATTGCAGAAGTGTCTGAATTGAGGTGAATGCAGCAGAGTACCGCGCATCTCCTAACTCAGTGAGTCCAAGGTCCTCATCTATAGACGCTTGTTAAATTAACTGAACACACAGTAACTTAAGGCAAAAATAACTATACAACAATTAGTCCACCGTTACCAAGAAGGTAACGAGTTCACAAATAAATCATCTAGCTCCAAGTTTCCAAGCATCATCATGATTTTTAGATTTCTAGTGAGGCCTCCCCTCACGGATTTATTCACCATGTTTTTGCAGTCCTGCCAGCCCACCCTCCTCACCCATAAACAGGGAATGCGTGACGTTCACTCCGCATGGGACGGCAGACGTTTCCATTTTCCGCCGGGCAATTTGGGTTTATCCCGTAAATCCAAATACGGCCAGAGGAAGTCATCTGTCCTATAGAGAGTGACCGACCGCTCAGCAGGAGACGCTGTTTAAGCCTTGTTTTGTACAATATTGTGAAAAGCCATGATTTGATAAATACACAGGCTCCCCTGATTAACCACCCTCCATTAACCCCAGTCTGGAGGGCCAAAACCTGATCAGACCCATTTGGGTGTAATTCCCATGGTCCCTGGGATTCTAAGGCTTCCAGAGTGCTGTCCAGTCAGGCAGTATGCAGTCCATCCTGCTCGGCAAATGTCCTGTGTTTTAAGTACCAGCGAGCACTTCTCCAGGGTCACAGAGCCTCAGTCTCCATGCGTGAGGACAGCTTTTCCTAGCTGCCCTGTGACAATTGGGTTTCACATTTCCTGAAACTAGATCTGTGGAAGGAGTCTCTGAAATTACAAAGGAGAGAGAGAGAAAACAGAGGTAAGAAAGATCAATTAAACTTTTAAAGGGGAGGGGGGAATCACCCACCAGAAAAGGACAAGGACTTTGGGCAACTCAGTAAGTTAGTGAATGTGCAAAGGTCCTGAGATCCCTTCACACCAGCGCCAGAAAAAACACAGGAGGAAATGGGTTCTGGGAAGACCATGGGCAGAAGGCCAACATGAAGGGGTCCCAGGAAGGTCAAGGAGAAGGTAGAGGGAGTGGAAGGCACTCAGGATGGAGGCAGGACAGATCGGGTTCTGGCGGCTTCTCTGACCCCGGGTGCACTCCCGGTCCTCCGAGCTTGTGCGGCTCCCGAGTGTAGCAGAGCGCGCCCTGACCCGCTGGGCCCCAAGCCCTGTCCTTCATCCCCCAGGAAGAGGCCTCCTCTGCCCTGAACTCACCTCTTGTGACTCTCAACTCTGACTATCGGCTTGTAGAGTTCTGGAATTTTCCGCTCAATCATTGGCCTGAGGTTCTCTTTCAGCTTGTGGTAGTTCTTTTTGAGTTCCTGCTGATACTCCCTCTGGTCTGCCGTGATGAGACGCTTGTTCTTCTCCACGGCCTCACCGCACCTGAGATGCAAACATCAGGGGCGGGAAGTGAGGTGGTATTTCGCAGGAGTTTGAGCTGCTTAGATGCTATCTACCATTTCTTGAGTACCTCCAAGAGTGTCTAAAACCTGGTAGCCTATCAGGATTGCCTGTGGAGGCTTTCAAAGTTCAGACATCTGGACTGTACCTCAGATTTAAGGAATCAGAATCCCTAAGGAGTAACACCCAGGAATCTGTTCTTGAAAAGTGGCCCAGAGATCTTGATGCTCTGAGTTGCTACGTGCCGGGCACCATACGAAGAGTTTTCCATGCATTATCTGGTTAATTCTCCCAACAAACCCAGGAGGTCTGTATTTATCCCCATTTTGTCCTTGGAGCTCAGAAAGGTTAGGTCACTTGCCCAAGATAACACTGTGAGGAAGCGGTGAGCCCGGGATCCAAACTCAGGGTCATTGTTCTGCTCACAAGACACTCACTGTGGCTTATGGCAAGCTGGTAGACCGAGCAGACGCCACTCAGCCCCCCTCCTGCCGCACGCACACAGACGAGCTGAAAAGTGCAGCCAACACCTGCTGTAGGAGAAGGGGAAGCCCCAGGTGCCAGAGAGGAGGAGAAAAATCCAAATCAGAGTGATAGCAGGAGCTGATGTCATGGCAATTGTCCCAAGACGTGCCCGTTAGAATTTCAAGACTGCACAGGGGTCCTGGAGGCTGGGGGGGGTGTGGCGTGCTGGGAGCCCACACGAGACAGGAGAGGTAGCCTCAGCCAAGGGCCAAGTGGGGCTCTGAATATTCCACTTGCATATAGTTCAGGGGCTTGAAAAGCTGCTACCCCATTTATGGAAGGGGGCCCAGAAAAATACTGCCAACTGTCCAGAGAGGTGGAATAAAAGCTTGCTAACAGTCTGGGGCCATCACTGGGAAAGAAAGTCACCTTAAGAGCTGAAATTCTAGGTTTGCACCACACACGGGTATGAGTTACAAATTTATACTGCTATGTGGTGAGTGCTCCAAGGTAAGAAATTAAATTAAAAAGCAACCAAGGTGACTGGAATCCCCAGGGCTTGGACAGAAATTAATATAAATTTGCTCTGGAGAAACACTTTCTCCATCAGGGCTCATGGGCCACCCACAGAAAGAGTGACCCTTCCCAAAGATAAGCTCACAATACAATCATCACGGGAGAGGACCAACAGATGCAACAAGCAGGAAAAACAGCCCACTAAGAATTCGAGATGACAGAACAATGTAAAAGACCAAAGTTAATACAGAGATGTAATAAAAAAAAAAAGGTATAAAATTCGTGATGAAAAGAGTATGAAAAAAGAGATCAGGGAAACTTCAGAAAAGAACCAAATGGAACTTCTAGAAATAAAAATAGAGTCACTAAGATAAAGAAAAAGATCCCAATGGACAGGTTAGAAAATAAACCAGACACAAATGGAGAACACACGAACTATATGACAGATCTAAGGAAATCACCAAAGAAATTTTTTTAAAAATTAAAAATATAAAAAAAAAATGGTTAAGGACCTGGAGATAGAGGGGCACCTGGGTGGCTCAGTCGGTTAAGCGTCTGCCTTCGGCTCAGGTCATGCTCTCAGGGTCCTGGGATCGAGCCTTCCATTGGGCTCCCTGCTTAGAGGGGGGCCGGCTTCTCTCTCTGCCCCTCCCCCTGCTCGTGCTC